CAGTGACCGCTGTAGCGTGAAGGAAGTCGGGAAACAGGACAGAAGGGCAGGGAAACACAAACTAAGGGTAATAAAAGTATTATCGCTGCGAACAGGGTTCGAACCTGTGCGGGGAGACCCCATTGGATTTCGAGTCCAACGCCTTAACCACTCGGCCATCGCAGCTGACAGCATAATAAGCGGTATTTTATAACCTTTGAAGCGTGTATCACGTGGTATAATGTATGCGTGCCTATTGTGTATATTGTGTCACGCGGATCAGTTAGGTTTCCATGGTAATTTTCATTCCGTTTGTTTCATGCTAACATTTAGATAATTTTGTTAATAACAATAAGACTTTCTGTTCATAGTGGAGATCGTTTTTTTTTTTATTTGTACACGGGATGAAGTAAAGTAGATCGTATTAAATTGAAAGTAATCTTTAGAGTCCATAAGCAGTCTGTGTTAAATTAAATTGAGCCTGGAATCGCCACGATGGTGGAAAGAGAAAAAAAATAATAAAAGTGCCGTATTCAACACTGTGTTTATTGCCTTCGACTAATACGTTGCATCGCTTCGTCATGCCATGCTGATGAAAACGACCAGTGACGAAAACATTGAACTACCCGGCCCAAATTGCACCAAAATTGAGTGATAACATTTTGACACGTCATGCTCTGTTCTTATTATACTGATGCATTAAAATGACAAACGGCAACATAAAATTTTGGGGAGATTTCAGGCGTAGTGTATTGAAGGCGACAGTCGTCGGCGGGTGTCGTGTAATGCACAGGCAACGATATATTGTAGGCGACAACGTGATGCCGTGGCAGAGACCGCTTGCAGCTCGACGAGAACGACAATTCAAAACAGAAACGCACGAAACTGGCACAAATAAGTCGAAATATCAATGCTTGCACAGCGATCATTGCGCAGCTGTCACCACCAAGACACCCGGAAGTAACTACAACACTGCAGTGACCTTTAACCGGTAAACGAAAGCGAGTCGACGCGCCTTGTCGTAGTCTCCCGGATGGAATAGTGCACATTTGAAACAACAGAATCTCAACGAAATGTTTCATACTGTCCCGCGCTAATTTGTTTTGGCAACCCTGACAGATCAGATGGTACCATCTCATTAGATTTTATACTATGAATGCAGTCGTAAGACAAAGGGATAATTTCGTGTACTATAAGTTATTGGGGACATCGGAATAGTGAAAATAATACGGCCCCATATAATAAAACTAAAAATATATAATATACAACTATATTTTTTTTTACCGTGTGGAGTTTACTGTTATGGTCTGTAATATCGTAGTTATCACTTCCAAGACCAATTTTATCTAAGACGTCCTGAAGATTTAACTCCATGACGTAATTCATGTCCAATAGCAACAAGTTAGTGTTCATGTCTTCAGGTCGGTAGCTCAGACCCACCACGCCCACAGCTTGCCCAGGAGCGAAGTTATTGAATTGCGACCAAATTTCTGCCGGATCGCTGAGGAATATTACGTTCCAATCGATGTACATCAACTATAAAATTAAAATTAATTGTAGTATCATGGAGCAATTATGCAATCAGCTGACATTCACTTATATACTGTGGATGACATATGACACTTTATGACTATGACACATGATGAACTTTATGCAGTTCATTCTCATACTCGACTGAGTCAAACGGTTGATGCCGAATGCAACCATTACATATTCATTCTGTATTATTCACTCCATTTCGATATACTGAAGAGTTTTGGTTCTTACCCTCGGTATCCGAGTAGCGGGCGATTTCATCAGCTCCAGAAACTCCGTGTTGTAATACGTTGAACAATTGACTGCAATTAACATAAACATCAAATCAATGCCAAATCTACTCCAGTGTGTATGATAACTTAATTATTTTAAACATCCAACATTTTACGCATTATTTTCTGCCGGTTAATTAATTGTCACCTAGCACATGTGAACTCATCAGTTCGCCGACAACAAAGGTACGATTATAGTCTAAAACAAATACCGAATATTATTACGTGAGACATTTTATAATTTTGCACGTTTTATTTCATTCGATTTACGTATAGTTGGGAATTATTTCGAAGTCGATATTTTTTATTTAATTTTAAATATTATTCATAAACAAAATGCTGTCACATATGACGATTTATTTATACCTATTTTTTAGGCTGCAATTTTGGCAAAATTTCAAATAAGCAAGTCATTCGTTGTCACATGTGACATCCGGTTCATTAATGAAGTTTTTTGTTCAGTATAATATCACAGTTCATGTATATAATTAGTCTCAGACAATTATGAGAAAAGATGCAACAGACGTCATAAATAATTCACTCCTGAATCAAGAAACTTCCATCACGAGTTCACGTTACGTTCAGACCGACAGACAAGAACAATACAATTTTTTTAAATGTAATAATGAATCCGTGGCGGTAATCCAATATTCCTGTTAATCTAAACCATGGGAATATAGTATTAACTGTTCATAATTCAAACAGATTATTTGTGCGTAAAAATTCAATATTTATTGCTTAATTTCATGTAGCAGTCGGATTAATTAAATTATGCCGGTCCGAGTCGTCGCGGTATGTGCCTGTGAATGACCCGAAGAGACAAAACCCGCGATTTTCGACCGAACTGAGCAAAGGCGGCCATACAACTGCCAAGTACCACGTATTACTCGTACAATACGTCGTCCATGTATACAGACATTGATTGATCTTTGACACAACATGATTGAAATATTGTTTGTCTTCAATTTTCTGTTAGTTCAGAATTCTGCCTCTGAGCATTAAGCGGATTATGTTGTTCACACCGCGTGTAGCGGAGGCAACAGCTGTGTCAATGGTTACACATCAAATCAGGGCAGGATACCTAATCATACAGTGCGATGTACTAAATAATATTACAGTCTACAAAATTGCACAATGAGTGATGTATACATCGTGAACTTACATGATGTATAACACGGCCAAGAAATTCCGTGTGTTATATGCCAGGTTTAGCTACAAACTGACTCTTATTTTTCATTATTCCGGTAAATTTGATAACCTCGCTGTAGTTTGATTTATCATAGAATTTGGTTTAAATTAGATGTTCTTTTAGAATTATAATAGAATACTATCAAAATAGTCCCCGGTTTAGCCTACCGTGTACTTGACAGCGCCCCCAACGTGTAAATTAAAAATGAATGACATTATAATGCGATACTAGTAACTCAATTTATTTTGTAACGTTTGTCTAACACTGAGAACGAGGTGGAATATGACGTCACAACTTACCACCTGGAACATTCCATGTTTTGTAGAGGGTACGAAGCATGTAACCCGTTCGTTCTTGGTCAACGATGTAGTGGAAATGTAATCGTGTTGTCCGGTAGAAAAACAGTGATTTTAACGTCGTCGTCAAATTCCTCGATAGGTCTTTGAAAGGAATGTTAATTAGTAAGTGTATATCCTAAAGCAAAAAAAAATGAAAGCCGATTGTCAGGATAATGCACAAACAAATATGAAATTGTGGAGACTCATGCACGTTGGTGGCCAATATACAGATTAGCGTTGCAACAAATCAACACTCTACGACATTTCTAAAACTCAAGTTCAATTAAAAATAAATTTAGAAGTAAAACATATGTAATTTCTAGTAGATCCCCAATTTTCTACGAATTTCAGGTTTGTACTGAAACCACAAAATGAAAACAAAATGTCATACGCATATAGCGAAAATAACCGGGAAGGTAGAGTTCTGAAATATTCAACAACAACAAACTCTTCCGATCGAACATATTCATATTTTTGCATTTCTGTGTAAAATAATGGCACAATTGAGAAAATATCCCCATTGCCTCCATTATTCACGGTCAAGACCAGTAAATAACACTGGAACACCAAACTGACGTCACACTTACGTCACATCCGTGGAATCCACTTCCGCCACTCACAGCCCTCGTCTGTGTCACGATGAGATCCTCTTGCCTGACAGCTGGTAATAACAAAAAATCAAACAAATAAGATTTTTTCTATAGAAATGGATTTTCGCCGCTATTTACAGAAAATGTTAATACTCTGTGTATAACTTAGATATTTGTTGACATAAAGTTTATATTGCGCCATAATCATGGCATGAAATGAAGTACTGTTACAGTAATGAAAGCGTGATTTGGGTGACCTTTACACTGATTCATTTCCGGATGAATTCCTGGTTCGAATAGGTCTAGTATTTTTTCGCGCAAATCAATCCTACGCGAGAACATTGTAATTTACAGCGTTTTATAACATCGAATTAGTTAAATTTGTATGAATATTTCATATATTCAATATAATAGATTTCTATGTAGCACGTATATATATATATATATATATATTGTGTTAACATGTATGGTGTATATAAAATCTAACTGGTCGGTTGATATAAATCGTTAATATTTCCAATGAATATATACTATACTGAGATGACCAATATAGTGTGCGATAATTGTATTCGTGTCAAACTTCCGCTATCGCCAAGGTAAACGAACGCAACGACACCACATAAAATAGAGAAAACATCGAACTACTTACCGCTAAAAACGTAGAAAAGTAAAATAAGTTGAGTGGCAAATGTGGCTGTGAAGATGATGGGCCGAATTTGGTTGGCTCTCATGTTCAACACCCCCGGCGGCAACCTGAAGTTGAAGTTAAATTTTGTGGCCATCGTGATGGAAAGCACAGAGCCGACTGCGACAAACCACTGAACCAACACGTATATGCTGACGTCAGGTCGGATTGTCATTCACTAGTCGGGCACCAGATGCGCCACCGGTAACCTCTGACCTCGTGACGTATTCGCAACTTAATATACTCTTGGAGAGAATCGTTCGCACTTCATTAGTGACTTTCTTTCGTAGTTGTCCATTGCACTATTCGGTGAAAGGTGTCAGGCTGTGACGTAGACTGGCGAGAGTCCCGGGAACCATGTTTTCACACCTCTTACAAAATTACCGATCATTGCACACGCCTTTTCATCACGACCAAATTGTAAAAGTATTCATTTCAAATTCAGTTATTTTTTATGAACAAATGTGTAATTATATTGACATTTTTAATATACATATATAAATTATATTGTTTATCAGTATGATTTTTTAAGGGGAAATTCAATCAACCATTCACACTGCTTGGCATTTAGGTGTCAGATGTTCTGTTGAAATAACATCGCATGAGCCACGTTGACATATTATTACGAAAATCAGTATTATGTTTTGAGACGTACACACGCTGATTAGTTACAAACCGTTACCGAAGCACTATAATGCCCCCCCTCCAACTCCACTGCCATCTTAGGGGACCATAATATCGTTTAATGTTCATAATGTTTAAATCTTATATGACGTGATTTTTAACATGTTGACCGGATATTTAGCTTAAACAGGATTGTCATTTCACGTTCCACCACATTTGTTTTGTTTTCAACGTGATTTGAACAACACTCACGGATATGCTTCCTCGCAGTCGTTACAAAAGTTATTCCATTTACAAGACTCTATCGGGACATGAACACAGACATTCTTCCGCGCCCAATTTCCATATATATTGTTTCGCGATCATTTGCAGAACATATTACCGTCCCTTGGACATGCGCCATTGGAGTGCACTATACGACACATCGAACAACGTCATCAATATTGTGCGGACAGCTGTTACGCACAACAATGAATACGCCTTTAGATTGCATTATTTATCAACCACAAAGACGCCAATTCAGCCAATTAAAATAGCATCCAGTTTGCGCAATTCGCAGGAGTACTGATTACGTTTCCACGTGTCACCAGCGAATCCTTTGACGGGTATAGTTTCTTCTCAGGACAGTCGTGGTGACCAAAATGTGCAGGGAATCGTTTACCAAAAATCACTGAAAATCCACTATATCAATTGCCATAATATTGCCCACATGAAAGAGCGGTATTTGCTATCGTTATATTAAGGTAGAAAATAAAATAAAAACGGAATTCAAAACACCTGTTGCATATAACGTAACATTGAATATATACACATGGAGAGTAGATGTGACATCACTTGTAGTGGTCATTTCCAGAATTACATTTATTCTCCTCACCAACGCAAACAACATTGTAATTGAAGGATATGTTCGTGCCTAAAATACTCTTGCACTGAAACTACAATATTGATATTTCTTACGAAAACAAAAATAAGTGGTTTTTAAACAATAATGAAACAAATCAGAACTACTTTCCCTGTTTTGTATAATATATTTATATTAATATGTGAGCTGTTTTATGGCCACAACCTTGCATTTCCGGGCCACCGTAGTAGCAGACGACACCTTTGGCAACATCTGCAAGCGCTTGTTTTGTCAACTGCTCATTTTTCACGTTAACCCAAATGAACCAATACCCCATTAATCTGACGAATATCCATAGTTTCCATGGTAACAGCTTTTGTATGTGTCTTTTTGATCCCAGCAGCCTTTTGCATGATAAGAACAAATATCTGTCCATCAAAAGTAGGTTTACAAAAACATAATTTATGACGTGACTCTCGGGTATTTGATATCAGTGAATTTGATTTGATTCAAAACCTTTTCATAGTCACGAATGACCATTACATGCAGTAGAGCGCCACTATGTGGTCAAGTGAACGACAAACACAATCATTTCATGCACGATTTTTTTTCTTTTCACTCGAAGTTCGGTTAACTGTTAAATTAAAATTCGAATTACTAAATGTGGACGTTCAAGAAAAACAAAAATTTATATTACCCGTAACACCCATAAGATCTGTTAATTGAACATCGAGTTACAATTTTGGCGTGGTTTCGCGAAAGTGGGCGTGGTCTCTAAAATATGGGCGTGGTCGATGTCCGTAACTCGAACAACTCAGCATCTCTGCGAAGACACTTCTATCTTCGATAACATTGTTTTATTTGTGACTAATAAACTGGAGTGTGTTGGTTACATCATGATGGTGGTAATTGAAAAACAAGTTATTCCTCAAGGAACACGTTACTTAATTAGGTAATCACTTAGGCCACTCGATGAAAAAAATAGAACTTCAGAGCTGGAAAATTAGATGATTTTTCAGTCAAATTTTGAAAGATACATTCAAACGAACATTTTTAAGTACATTATGGTTGGTCAATTCCATGTCTATGTATGATTCTTTCACACTGACCAAGTACATATATGTAAATGTTGAGGGTGGTGAACATTATGGTTTGTCAATTCCATGTCTATGTATGATTCTTTCACACTGACCAAGTACATATATGTAAATGTTGAGGGTGGTGAACATTATGGTTTGTCAATTCCATGTCTATGTATGATTCTTTCACACTGACCAAGTACATATATGTAAATGTTGAGAATGGTGAACATTATGGTTGGTCAATTCCATGTCTATGTATGATTATTTCACACTGACCAAGTACATATATGTAAATGTTGAGGATGGCGAACATTATGGTTGGTCAATTCCATGTCTATGTATGATTCTTTCACACTGACCAAGTACATATATGTAAATGTTGAGGATGGCGAACATTATGGTTGGTCAATTCCATGTCTATGTATGATTCTTTCACACTGACCAAGTACATATATGTAAATGTTGAGGATGGCGAACATTATGGTTGGTCAATTCCATGTCTATGTATGATTCTTTCACACTGACCAAGTACATATATGTAAATGTTGAGGATGGCGAACATTATGGTTGGTCAATTCCATGTCTATGTATGATTCTTTCACACAATATGTATATGCAAATAATGAGATTAGTTAAAGCGCGGTGGTCGTCGGGCAGCGCGTGTTCGAATTTCATGTATAAATAAACAATGTATTTTACATGCGTTGTATACGTCGCTATGAGTCCCATATCGAACAGGACGCGGCACGGCGACTGCCGCCCTTTAATATTACTATGGTTGGCCAAAGTAACATGTACTTTGAACATTCTTGAATGCTTTAATTTCGTAACACACAAGCCGAAAAAAAAAAAAAAAAAGAAATGTTGTAGCAGTGAACATTTTAAGCCCACGAGTTTCGTTCTCACCCTGACGTGTGCCGTCAAATCATCAAATTGGGCAAACATCGGGGAAAATAATCATTTTACAGTAATGCAACCATTAATAGCTTGCCCATGTACAAAAAGTCCGTTTGAGACCTGGAGTGATGACTTGACGTATATGGGAAACCGATTGATTTGAGAGATTTGCTAAATCCCAAATGACAGACAATGTAACCGAACAAAATAATTTGCTTCGAGCGCTATGTAAACTAGTATGTCACAAAGCCACCGTTGCGGGCACTGCTCATACAAAAAAGGACAATAAAACAATTATTGCAACTGCAACTAAGGGATATATTAAAATTTTCATATACACCGAAGCTCACAGCTAATAATTGTTTTAAATTAGGAAGTTGTCAAAACCGTTTTATGGTTTGAAAGTTTGTAGTCTCAACAGAATCGTAACAACAGAACTGTACGAAAACAGATTTATTTTATTTTCAACCTGGGGGTCCCTAGTAGAAACCTACCAGTGGGTATGTGAGGCACCCACGAAATTTATAAAGTGCGTTTTAATTTCTTGAGAATTTGTTTCAAGGAATAGGTTTTTCCTGAGAATTTGTTTCAAGCGGTGGGTTTTTTGAGGAATTTTGCATCCCAGGCCGTGATTTTCACTTAAAGCGGGAGGGTCGTCACCTACGCACGCACGGGAATTGAGTCCCAGGCGACAAGAACAACACACGCTAAAGACGCAAAGGCTCATGGATAGACGCTTGTTTGTAAACAATGACACGCTTTCGCTGAACTGTGCGTAAGATCACGTGACCCGACTGAGCTTGCGCGTAGAGGCGGGGACCAGCCAATGACACACTATGGCCATCTGACGCATGCACAGGTGACGACTCCCCCGCTTTAAGGTTGGAGCCTCGCATATCTGTATATAAATAATAAAAGTGTTCCCGATGTTATCGAGGTTTAATACGGTGATCGTATTGACCGACGAATAGCGAATGTGTATGCATTACGGTACTTCCTTCTATTATTATAAAACTTTCCCTTTTTGTAATTATAATTTAACGAGAGAAGACAGCCCGCGCGTTGCGCGCTTTGCGAACGTTTACGCGTTCAGTGGTAGGATTACATTTCCAACTTGTGCTGACAGCGCTCCTACATAAATAGGTAGGTAAAACGTTCAAACACGTCCGTTTGGCGTTTTACGGACGGACGCGTAACTTAGTATATTGTCATCACTCATATTATAGTATGCTGATTAGAGGAGAGCCGGTCACGCGGCGTTGAATAAAATCACAAGATATCCATCAGTTTATGCAAATCACGCCGAGTGTTAAGCACGTTGAGCTTGCCGAGGTTTCAAGTTTTGGAATTCGAGGAGTCAGTACCCATAATGCCCTAGGTAGGATTCGTTTAGGGCACAGTCCTGTGGTTAGAGTAGCTATTCTCAAAGATGGAGCTACGTCACGACCCCCCCCCCAAATGTTGACAGATATTATTCACATCTAGTGAGCATCATGTAAATGAAACTCCACCTTCAGCTATTCCCTATACAATGGAGGTAAAAATATATTTTCATTTGTATGCCTATACTGGTATTTATGGTCTTGAATAGCAGTTACACCAGATAGAACCAGCCTAACATTTATTAATTAGTTAGTTAGTTCTGGAGAACATTATAGCAATCTGACATCTTTGCGTTTTTTTTTTTTTTTTATACAATCAACTGTTCAAAAAAAAACAACAGTGTCTGTGTAAATCACATCAACCAATCCACTCCCAATATTGTAAAATACTTTAATTTCGCTTGGAATTAATTTTCTCTGAAAGAATGATTCATTGAAACTAAAATCTAGCGAATATACCTTTTTTCCTATGTTTTACATTCAACTCATCAACTTGAAAATCAGCGAAAATAAATTCTATACAAAACACCCAAAAAGTTATTCAGTGAAAATTAATTGCAGCTAAAATAAAGTATTTCACAGTAGTCGCAAGCCATTCTAATCAATTACCAGACACAAATTGGGGAGAAAAAAAAACAAAAAAACAATGACACATTTTTGTTTTGAGCAAGAAGTCAGTTTGTTTATTGCATGGTTCATATCACAAGTAAACAGACCTGGGTAGGAGTGCTGCTTGTCTCATTGTTTTGTTTGACTGTATATAAAAACAGAACAGCTACATACAGGAAAATAGAACAGGGGAAAAAATGCAGCAATGAGCAAAAGAAAAATGCTGTTGGTGAAATAATATTGTTTGTTCACAAGATATGTGAAATAATTTGACTGTCAGAAATCAGTGGAACATAATATTAACCTTTCCCACCTCTGACAGTTCTTTTAATGTGATCACTCTTGAGTTTTCTATTAATAAGCCTTGCCATTTCAAAGGAAATAGGGGTCATATGGGGTTTGAAAGCATGTAATACATGCATGAAAATCTGCTCACAAAATAATTTTTATATAAAAAACATACACTTTATTACTGTGGCAACAAGTACTAATGCTAATTTGTAAAATATTTGTCTAAATCACTAAAAAAATCCATGAGAAATTAGATACTGTTACAAACTATTTACCAATTACTGCGCCTACACTGACAGTTTAAAAAATAAAAATATATTAAACACTGAAAGTATACTGAGAGTCTAATAGCCCCATGAAGTTGGAAAGTAACAAATTCATGTACAATAACATCGTAAGATTGTTTTTTTTTTTAGAAATCCTAATCTAGAGTAAAAGTCATAATAATATGATAATGAAGCAACAATCAAGAGAAATATCCTCTCTTTCAGTGATTCTGTCATCTTCTAAGACTTTCTGCAGGCAAAATTGATTTACATAAGCCTTCGCCATTCACATTCACCATTACAGTCAAGTTTACAGATACAATTATAACACATATTTTTTTTAAATACAAAAATTAAAAAAAAAATTGGCAAATACATATTCTCTGGTCAGTTTTGTGAATAACCACCAGATTAATAGGAAGATAACATGAAGCAAAAACAAACATAGAAAGTTCAAATTACTTTTTCTTGATACGATAATTTTTTTTTTTTTTGATAACTTTTTTTTTAATGTTTGCTTTCTTTGGGGGAAGGCAAATAGTTTGTAGACTATGAAATTACTGGTCACCAACTTTGATTCAAATGTTTGATTGAATATGCTACAAAAGATCAGCTTAAAAAAATAATTATCAAAATCTTGATTTACTATGCCATTTGTGAAAACGAACATTGCAGCCAATGACGTACATAAAAACGTGAAATGGATCAGCACTGACAGGCATAAAAACACAGTGGATGTTGACACCAGGGTTATAGCCAGAGAAAGTGCCTGTCTGAAAACTTTATCGAAATGAAAAATTATAGTCCCAAGCCTGTAACCACAGACTTATAATCAATTTTTGGCTAAATATTTTTGGTTACTGTGGAATACTTTATTTTCGCTGGAATTAATTTTCACTGAAAAGGTTTTTTGGGCGTTTTGCTTGGAATTTATTTTCACTGATTTTTGATGAGTTTAATGTAAAATATAGGAAAAAAAGTATATTCGCTGGATTTTATTTTCACGGTATCATGTCTTCAGCGAAAATAGCGAAAATAAATTCCAAGCGAAAATAAAGTATTCTACAGTAATTTGTCATTTACTGGCAATTTTCAATAAAAACTGGACAGGTTTGTAGACATTTTGCCTGTCAAATGAATTGTTGTACCTCTCAAAAATGACAGACAGGTGGCTGGCTAAAAGCCTGGTCCACACTGATACCACAGACAACATCGTACAGTGAATGATGATGTATAGTTCAAAATGAAAGGCACTGCTACAGTTCCACATTGCTGACAAAACAAAAAGAACCAAAGTTATTAAAGCAAAAAGCCTGGAAAGACAAATGATACTGGAATTTAAAAGAAAGAAGTGTAGATTAAAAATGTGTAGAAGTGTTGGCTAAAACAGTGCAATCAACATGAAGCACTTTTTGTACACTAAAAAAATCAAAAAGTCTATTCTAGAAAAATAATAATAAATTGATCCCCACAATTTTCTCACAAAATGCTGTTGCTGAAATGTTCACAGCAATTAAAAATGTTTATCACACAAGACATTGTGGGGCAATAATTGTATATACATGATATATATATATATAGTGATTCATTGCCTGGGATAATACCATACACAAGATTATTGGATTCCATAATTGTTGTTTTCTAAATACTAATTTGCTGACTTGTGTCCTAGCAACAAGAGTTATTACAAGATGTAACATTTGCCACAGATATTGATGAAATAACTGCGTTTCCTATATTTTTTTTTATAAAAAAAAGATAACAACCCATCCTGTTATATTAAATGTTATTTAAATAATTTACAGATTCTTTCTCTAAATAAACAACTACAAATCTTCCTCCTCCTTCTTGGTATCCACATCGCTCTCCTCTTTACCATCTTCTGACTTATCATCTTTTTCGTCATCACTTTTCTTCATTTCTCCCTCCTCCACTTCGTCCTTTACATCATCCTTGCTCCCGTCTTTGGAATCGATGTGACGTTTTTCATGTTTCTTCATAAATGCTTTTCGAGTGAATCGCTTGCCGCATACCGAGCACTCGTGGGGTTTTTCAGCTGAATGGGTCACCATGTGTTGCCTGAGGTAACTCTTCAGTTTGAAAGCTTTTGTGCAAATATCACACTTATAGTTTTTCTCATCTGAATGTGACTGAAAGAAATAATTTAAAGTAAGTTAAGCATATTTATTTAATTGTAAGTTTTTGAAGATTTCAATCAGGTCTTCTTCAATTATTCTGCTTTTTGATCTTATATTTAAGGGAGAATCCTACTCCTAATTTTGGAGACGTTGGTCAGAAATCGCATGAGCGTTCATTGGTCTATCAAGTAAAATCATGAAGTTACTGTCCCATGGCACCACTAAATGGCATTCTATTGTGTGTTACAGTGACATATTTTGAGAAACTTGTTCTATTATTTTACAAAAATCGCTATTTTTAGAACAATTCCATGGAACACAATGTTAATTGCATTTTTGGATATTTTTTAAAACCCAGATTTTTTAAGATTTTTTAAAATATTTTAAGACAACAATAAGTACCCCACCATTAAACAATGTATGATTTTTCTAGCCTATGTCACCAGGCTACAAATTGAGATATGACGTATCTCTGCCATAAATTCCGAACCTACGGTAAAACATTATAATACTGCCAAAATTGCCACTATCCACTAAAATACAACCATAATTTTCTTGAAAATTAAGCTGGTGACCCCGAACTTTTTTTTTAATTCAATATCCTTATAATGCCCTTTAGTATAATTTATTGGAAAATGAATAAATACTGGGTTTTTGCATTCATGAGTAGGCTTCTACTTTAAAGCATAAACTTTTTTTTTCAGTGCACATGCTTGAGCAACTTTTTAGAGATTTTAAATTTTGAGGTCAAGTTCGACTTGGGGCCTATCCGATAAAAAACTCTCTAAACTTGACTATCTAGTCATGAAACCTAGTTCCAAATAATAAAATTTAATGTATATTGTATTACTTATATATGTAATATCAAAGCAATCAGACTTGTGGTTTTTAACAAGAAGCTGAAAATATCACTTTTTACCAAAAATGACAAAAATATTCATCAAAATTAGAGAATTTGAGATTTTGACATGATATGAACAAATTTGAGAAAAAACCATCCAAGGTACTTGCGGTTTGACAACGACGAACAGCGGAGCTAAAAATATGTTTTCTAGAGTCGAGAATCTTGGGCACTAAATCAGTCAAGTAAACAAAAATAAAATCCAGTGAAGATTGATGACAAAATCCCAACATCAATGCTTACACTGACTACATGTGTGATATTCACATCAACTTTGACTGAAATCATCCCAGGCATGCCTTGATGCATGTTATAATTGGCGGATAAATTTGGATTGAAGTGTACATGTACATTATTAAGTCTTGTTTCTGTATTTAATTTGAAAAAAAACCAAAAGGACCAAACTTACAGTAAATATATGTATAATGCATATATTCCACCTGTAGAGGGCGCCAGAATGACATGTGACAAGACATAATTGCAATCAATTTTTTCACTTTAGTAAACCCTTCACACTGTCAAAATTCCCCCAAATTCCCACAAGAGTTAGCTATGTTTCCATGGAATCAAGCAAAGGTACAAGCTGATTGTATTTCCATTTTTAGAAAAGAGGATTAATAAGGTAACATGATAGCTGCATAGTACCTTTTTCATGTGTACACCAAGTCCAGCTTTTTGAGCAAACCCTTTGCCACATTCGTTGCATTCATGTGGTTTGCTCCCCGTATGTATATTCTCATGCTCTTCAAAGTCCTGTTTCAGTAACCATTTGTCACATGTTTTACACTGCACCCTCTCCCTCCCTTCTCTGAAGTAGATAATACCATCGTCTGAAAAATAAAACAAATTAACATCCAGTCAGTGGCATTTCTTAATTGCTTGTTTTGATTCATTCAATGGTGGTCACATGATCTAGTACTAGTCAAGATAGATAAAATAACAAAATGTACTTGCAGAAACAGACATGTAATAATCACATAGTAAACACAAATTACTACAGATACAAAATGTTACAATAGTACATGATGGAAAAGCTGTGGAAAAAACGATTGTTAGTCATAGTCATTCAATCAAAAGAAAGCTTAGAAAGAACTCCCATGTGCTAAGGGTATTGCAGGCATGAAGTACAAATAAGGAACACTGTATTTACTATATTAGAAGCATATCTGCAATTCACATAAAGCAGAATCATTAAAGTATGTTTTATTCCGACCACAGACTTGTCTTTGTCTTAAATATTACATTTATGCATATTAATGAGGTCATATTTCTTGACAAATGACTTTATTATAGCACAAGTTGCATGTCCTTATCTGCAACAGTGCTTGAGAAATTACACTTATGCATATTAATGAGGCCACATAAACCCATTTAAACAAAGTAGGTAATTGATATACATGGATTTCAACCAGGCTGAGGAGTCTGCTCCATAACAAAAATTTTGCTTACAGTTCCAATGAAAGAAGACAAAACTTCAGAGAAGGGGGGGGCCAATCCATGGGACTCAACCAAGGAATCATGGGACAATTGTTTATGCCATTAATCTGTCTTATTTAAAATTGTATATACAGTAAATATGCTGTTTAGGCTTAACTTGAAAATCTAAGATCAGGGAGAATTGAGAAAAATTAACAATTTATACTGCACTATACTCAACAATAATAAACAAAAAAACATGGATATCAGTATCAGTTTAGAAAAGGTACTACTTTAGGTTTGAGACAGGTTTCTTATTCTATACTTCTATATTCTAAGATTCATGGGGAGGTTTTTCATGGAGCAACTGTGAAGACGGCAAACACTATATATAACAGCAGCCATTTTACACATTGGGTCACAAGAGTCTTAAGGTAGCGAGAAGGGAAATTTTCACTTTTTTCTTGATTTTTCAAAAATTGATAAAACGGTTACTTTAGACCTCGACACATCATCTCAGGTTTACAAAAGATCGAAATTGCGAAATAACGTTGCTTAAATTAGTGTTTTAAAACGCTAAAAGAAAAGACTACAACTGCCGTTTCGAGGATATTTGCATAATGTTTATCTTTGGAAGGGTTTAAATGATAACATCTTATCTGTATACTCGTTGTTGACAATTCTGATATACATGTAACGGGTGATAAGCTTTCCGTCGCAAACAATGCATGTTTATCTAACGTCCATTGTCAGCATTATTGTCAGTTGAGACTTCGTCTGAGAAACATGGTCATACAGTCCGGGCATACAGTACTCATTTCGCCCAACCTTCCGCTTTTACATCAACCGCTTATCGCTTAATTTCCGACAATGCGGTCTTGTCCGACCGGAAACCGAGCGCATTTTAATCGCTCGCCCAAACACGGATCACTGGCACATGGGTGGTCGAAATGGTAGTTTTGATAGTAAAGTGTGAACATACAACTAGTATTAACAATTATTACATTCTGAACGACACTTCAAATCTAATAGTAAGTTGTATTACACTTGTATCGTGAAAGCAACTGAAGTGTGACCTCTTGTTACATGTTTTGGGTGCTTGTTCTAGATGTACTATTTTTTATTATTTTAATGACAGTTACGTGAAAAAAGCATAGATAACTCATTTTGACAGAGCAGAGAAACGAAGAAATATTAATGATTAATTCCAAAAATAACGATATCATATCCACGTCGGTCCATGTCTGGTAAAATTTGACATTCAATTTTCAAAAATAAGTCACTATCATTGAATGAGTTCAGTCTATACCATAAAAGTGTTCCCACAAAAAATATTTTCTACTAAAAACTGCCACATGCCCTAAATAAATTGAACAGAGCTTGAAAAGTATGAATAAATTATTGGGCTTAAAAAAACGTGTCAAATTTAGTTATAGCCATAAATATTTGGTGGCCAGTCGATGAACAATTCATAACTCAGGATTCAGGGCTGAAAATCATCGACTCTTCTCTGGTTTACTTTATTTCCCAACCGTGGACTCTAATGTATCTGAGCCTAGTATTTTCTTTTTGAACTGAGGTCAAATTCCATCCGTTTGTCAAAATATACCGATGTTTTTCAGCGAATAATTTTGAAGCCTGTTACAGCACAAAAACACCATGTGAATCGACGCCGGAAATTGGATGGTACGACCACTCTTCAATTAGCGTCAAATATAGATTGGCTGAAAGTCACATGATCGGAGCACAACCTGGGTGACAGAACCATATTTGTCCGTATTATCAACAGGACCTCGCAAAAGAACCACACCCACATTTTCAATCTTTTTTAGAGCGGAAGTTGCCAACAAATGTCAAAAATCTCATGAATTTCATGGATTCGAATAAAATAAAGCAAGCGATTGATAAGAATGATTATTAATATTTTTCCCCAATGCTCTTCGAATTTTTAGTTTTTTTTTTTTATTTCAAGGTAAGAAATGGCTAGTTGAAGTTGCATCGACTTCAAGGCGGCTGTTTCACCGCGAACAACTCTAGCTCTGTTGTAGTTTTGTAGTAAAATGAAATATATATTATAACAAGTCATTGAAAATGACACAGTCCCTGTTAAGTTCTCTTTGTGCTCGTCATATTAAAGCGGAGGGGTTGTCGCGAGCATGTCCTTGAAACTTGAGTTCCAAGTGGCGTATACAACAGATTGTTTATTTACATCAAAACATGTGTTTCGTGTCATAGTAATATGGCCAAAATAAAAACAGTCGTTATTCAGCCATCTTTGATCTGATTATGAAACACACTGATATGTATGATGTATGTGCCAAATACGAATGAAAATGGTTCATAAATTGTGGAAATATAGTAGTAAGGCCAAAAAGTCAGATGGCTGTCAATCGGCCATCCTTGACCAGATTTTGAAACGAATTG